TAATTATTTTACGGCTCTTTTGTAGATAATTTTTTTTCTTTCTTCTCTTGTTTTCCTTGATTAGATACTGGCTTATAATATGTCTTATTTCCTTACTTTTAATACTTTTTATATCTAAAATAGGTTTTTTTGGTGGTTACAATGATACTTATATTTTATGGTATAACAGAGATTTTTATTTTTTTCTTTCCTTTGTTCCTTTATTTTCTGTTGTTGTTGTTTATTTGTTTTTAATTTGACAAAGTGTATGTAGTCACCACAGAAAGGAGAGAGAAAGCACTCCTGAAGGGACATAGTCTTTCTGCAAACCTTTCTTCTTCATTTCTTCATCCTGTCATGATTTGGGGTATGCACACATATATGCCTGGCATGTTTTTCAAGATGCCAGGGACGGGATTTGAACTGCACACACAGCCGTGTGGGAACCTGCTTTCTTAACCACTAGACCATGGAGCCAGCCCAATGTAAAAGCCAGTTTCATCATGTAACTTCATTTAGAACCTCTTATAAAATTATTCACTTTTACTTCAACACCTCACAATTAAAATTTTGATGTCACAATCAGCATCTTTTTACTCTCGTATATTCCTTTACAAGTTATTCTAGCTGTTATTATTTCTAATACTTTTGACTTTTGTTCTTCATACTAAAGATATAAATCATTTACATCCACAATTACAATATTATGCTATTCTGAATTCGTGTAGTTACTTTTACCTGTGAATTTTGTACTTTGCTTTTGTCTTACCATTAGTATCATTTTCTTTCACTTAGAAAAACTCTCTTTAGCAGTTTTTTTTTCCTTCAGTATTCTGAATATATTATCCCACTCTCTCTTCTTCTTCTTCTTTTTTTTTTTTTTTTTTTGTTGTTGTTACTTTTGTTGGAGAGTTTGCTACAGGGTGCATGCACTCGCCAGAAATACAGAGAGACAGAAAACCAGAAATCACCCCCTAGGGGGCATGGCCATGCCACAATCCCTTCTCCTCCTCCTTTCTCCTCTTGGGATCCTGAGCACGCATGCACACGCGCCCAGCATGAGTTTAAGGCAACTGGTCCGGGACTCAAACTGCAGTAGGCTACATGGGAATCCAGTGACATAGCCATTACACCAAATGCTGGTCCCTATCCCTCTCTCTTCTGATTCCATAGTTTCCGCTGACATATCTTTACCAAGCTTCAGTAGAACTCCCTTATTTGATATGTTCTTTTCTTTGCTGCTTTCAGGCTCATGTCTTATTTAAAATTTGACAGTCTTATAATACGTCTTAGGGTAGTTTTGTTTGGATTGAATCTGATTTAAGCCCTTTGATTCTTTCTGAACTGGCTTATTTTTTTTTGCGGGGGCGGGGGGCTGGTATTTTTGGTATAGGGCACATGCACTCACCAGAAAGACAGAGAGAAAGCAAGAAAGGGAGAAATCACTTTCTGGGGGGGATGGCCACACCACAATTGCATCTTCTCCATTCTCCTCTCGGGATCTTGGGCATGCATGTACATGTGCCTGGCATGAGTTTTAAGCAGCCAATTCCAGGACTTGAACTTTGGCTGACTACGTGGGAGTCCAGTAACATAACCATTATGCCATCTGCTTGTTCCTGTACTGGCATATTTGTCTTTCCCAAGATTAGGAATATTATATGCTATTTTTTTCTTTAATATGTTTTTGTTTTTTACTATAGGGTATGTACACTCACCAGAGAAAGAAAGAGAGGGAAAGTTGAGACATCACCCCTCGGGGGATCTGGTCATGCTTTAATCCCTTCTTATATATTCTCCTCTTGGGGTTTCAGGCATGCACCACACACCCAGTGTGTTTTTCAAACTACTGAGTTCAGGACTTGAACTGCACCGTTGGTCATGTGGTGTCTAGTTACTTTAACTTCCATGCCATCTGTCAGCCCTCCTTAATAATAATTTTACCCCTTATCTTTCCATTCTCCTTCCTAAACTCTGTTTACTCAAATGTTTGTTTTTCTGATGCTGTCTCATAAATTCAATAATCTTTATTTTTTTATTCAACTTTTCTCATCCGATTGTATATTTTCAAATAATCTGCCCTATAGTTCCTGTTATTTCTTTTGCTTGATTAGTTTCTAGTAATGTTATTTTTCAGCTCCAGGATTATCATTTAAATTTCTTTTTTAATCTTTCTTTCTTTCTTTTTTATTATTTCACTTTCTCTTTTAATACTAGTTTTGGTTATTTATTTTCTTGATTTCCTTGTATCATTTTCTTGAAGTTTGCAGAGCTTGTTTATAAACAATCATTTTGAATTCTTCACTAGTCAGTAAGTATATCTCTATTTGAAGTCAGTTACTAGGATATTATTATGTACTTTTGGTGATATTATATATCCTTAGTTTTCATGTCTTTCTTTTTTTTAATTTTTTTGCTTAAGAGGCTTTTGTCTTAGGGTACATGCATTCTCCAAAGAGACACGAAGATAGTTAGCTTTCTTTTTTTTATTTTTTCCTTAAGAAGCTTTTGTCTTAGGGTACGTGCATTCTCCAAAGAGACACGAAGATAGTTAGAGGGAAAGTGAGAAATCACCCCCCAGAAGGGATGGCCATGCTGCAGTCCCTTCTCCTCCCTTCTTTGTCCAAAATCTTGGATGTTCATGCAAACCTATCTGTCATGATATTCAAGCTACTGGGTCTGGGACTAGAACCACAGTTGTCTATGTGAGAATACAATGACTTAAGCGCTATGCCATCTGCTGGCCTCAGTCTTCATGTTTTTCTTACCTTACATCTGTGCATTTGAAGAAATACTTATTCCAGCCTTTGCACATTGACTTTGTCTGTGAGTTCCCTTTATTATTGAGCTCATCCAGACATTCTGGTCAGGAAGCTGCTGGAGTCCTAAGAAAAGCTGGCTAGTGTCTGTGTCATCAGGTGTCTGGGCCTGTCAGCACAATCGTCAGGATTGGACCTGGAGGCTAGATTCAGCAGGGTGATATTCTGATGAAGTGTTTGAAGACTGACCTGTAACCTATCTCCATGGAATTAGCAAGGGGTGGCACTTAAGTCTGAGTCTACACAGGCAGCATTGACCTGACTCTTGTCCACTGGGACAAGCCTGCAGCTTGGGTCTCAGGGGAGGTCTTTGGATCAATAGGGGCTTACTTGGAGTCTGGATATGTGGAGGCTGTCTTGGTGCCTGGCATTACAGAGGTTTACCTGGAACTTGAAGCTGTTGGAACTGGCCTGATGACTAGTCATTAGGCCAGCATGGATGCTGGGTTTATGGGTGCTGTGGGAAGCAAGGGCTGAGGACCACAGAGATGGCCCCAGAGCCTGAGTCCATGGTTGTTGGTCCACTACAAAATTCTACTAGAACTAGCCTGAACTCTGCATCTGAAAGTGTGGGGCCAACATGGCTAGCCAAGAGGATGCAGCCTCAAGGACTGGCCTTGCACTTGACAGAACTGGATCCTATGCCAATGGGAGCAAGCTTGGTGTCTGAGGCCAAGAGTATTGATATGGTATGGAAAAGGGTCTTTAGCCTGGGGCTGTGTGGGCCAACGTGTGCAAGACTAGTGATTAGGGCTTCTTGGACCATTCTGGAGCCTGGAGCCAGTGTAGCTGGCCCAGTGCTGAGGATAATCTAGAGCCTAGATACACCAAGGTTTGCCTGGCAATCGGGTGATCCAAAGACTTATCCCTAAACAGGGCTGTAACCTGGGACTATGGATCCAGTCTGGCACTGTGGTGGGCCTCAAAGCTCTGTCTGAGGCTATCGGGACTGAGGTAGGTCTAGCGTTGGGATCTGAAGCAAACTCCACTGCTCACTTCCCTCCACAAACCCTATTCAGAAGATATTTCTCCCCACACTGTGTTTCCTGGTATTGGGTGATCTAGATAAATTAAAACTATCATTCCTGCCCTCTCTGGTGCATCTTTTGTTATGTCTGTGCTACACCCACATGATGAAATCTCTTACCTGATTCCCTTAGCTCTTGTGAAAGTGTATGATTCTATATGAGGAAACAAGTGCTAAACAGTTTTCTTGCATCATCTTGTTGATGTCAGTAGACCAATTGGAAACTTCTAATTATTAGAATACACAACCTATAACACACATAAGAATTATAGTAATTTCTACCAATTAAAGTATGAATAGTATAGTTATATTGCATTAAATTATTTTTTAAAATTACTTACTTAATTTTATTTATTATAATTACTATTACATTTTGATTTGCTATAGGGTACTTGTGCTCACTAATGAGAGAAAGACAGCGAGAGAGAGAGGCAAAGTGAGAAAGCAAGCTGCCAGTCTTGGATTTGAACTGGAGTAAACCATGTAGGGGTCCAGGTCGTTGACAATGAGTGAGTCCAGTGCATTACCACCATGCCACCTGCTAGCCCTTAACATTGCATGACTTTAGAAAGATAATTGGTTTGTTGATGATAATGTGTATAATATCATCAACTGGACTGCTGTGAAGTGTATTCATGTTGGATAAATTCACTTTACAGGCTAAGTGATGCATAGTAACTGAACGTATAAAGTCAATTAAAATTAAAAAAATCAATAAATTAAACATAGAAACCTTAATGTGTTAACATAAAGAGTTAAAATATAATACATGCATAATTTTACCTTTTTTATTATTAAAATGGAACCTCAAAATGGAAGTGCTTAGGACCTCTCTCTATGAGAGATGTTTCAGTTAAGTGATCTGATTCCCAAGCCAGAGGCCAACTGTCAAACCATGCATTCTTTATAATTTGCCCTGATAACAGTATTATAATGACCATTAGGTCTGGGCTCAGAAAAGACAGAAAAAAATTCAGAATGTCAGATCTGGGAAGCACTTAGATGTCATCTGATCCACTTTTCTTATTTATTGGCTCAGAAAACTACAGGAACAGAAAGGAGTTGCTAGTCTTCTATTTATAGTTTGCAATGTTTAACAACCACAGGCCACTTCTCTATGCCTGCTGCATTTGTCAACATTGTTTCTGTGGATAGAACACGACCAAGCAAAGGGCTCAAACACCAGAGGATTCAATAGTCTTCACTTTCTCTTGGCACCAAAGATTTTTCATGGCATTCTTCATGTCTGTATTTCTCAGCGTGTAAATAAGGGGGTTAAACATGGGGGCAATCATGGTGTAAAACAGAGCAAATACCTTGTCATCACTCACAGAATCAGCCATGGGCACATAGGTGAAGACTAGGGGTAAGAAGAACATGAGTGCTACAGTGATGTGTGAGCCGCAGGTGGAGAGGGCTTTGCAATGGCCCTCAGATGAGCAGGTCCTCAAGGTTATCAGCAAGGCTTTGCTATGGCCCTCAGATGAGCGGGTCCTCAAGGTTATCAGGATGATGATGTAAGAAATTACCAAGACAACAAAGGTCAAAACAGACGACACTCCTGTGGTGGCAATGATGGTAATAATCAAGACTCTAGTGTCAGTGCAGGCCAGCTTCAGCAAGGGAAAGATATCACAGAAATAGTGGTCTATCTGATTGGGACCACAGAATGGAAGCTCAGGAACAATCAATACCTGAAGGAAGGAGTGGATAAATGCTCCAATAACAGAGACCAGAACCAAGACATAGCATGCCCATCTGCTCATGATGATCATATAGTGAAGGGGTTTGCAGATGGCTGCATAGCGGTCATAGGCCACGGCCACCAAGATGAACATCTCAGTGGCACCAAAGAAGTGGGCATAAAACATCTGACTATGCAGCCATTGTAGGAGATGGAGTTCCACTGGGACAGCAAGTCCGTGATTAGTTTGGGGGCCACCGTGGAAGTGAAACAGACATCCATGAAGGAGAGGTAGCTGAGGAAGAAGTACATGGGCTGTTCACTGAGGCGGCTGCCCCTGATGGTGAGCAGAATGAGCAGGTTTCCTGAGAGAACTACAAGATAGCAAAGCGAGAACAGCACGAAGCAGGTGGCCTTCACATCCTCATCACTGAAAAGTCCCAGGAGGATAAATTCTGTGACATTTTCATGTTTCATTGCTTCTGTGGGTGGAATATTTGGAGATATTAATACATATACTTGAAATGCTAGACTTCTTCTGAAATTTTTTATTCATTTTCAAAATCATCTATTTAATTAATACATATTATTTATTATGATTCAATCCATATATTGGTGATTGTAGTATAGAAATGAATAAAATATATACAACATATACTCACAAATAGTGTGCAGTTCTTAGAAGTGACACACAATAATCATGATAAGATAAATATCAAGTAAATGTAATAAACTATGAAGTCTCACACTTACTAAGAACAGGTTACAAAGAATTTAAAAATGAAATGTGTTTTACGTTCAATGTTTACATGTAATGTTGGTATTATATATGAGATGTGCTTTTAAATCTTCCCAATATATAAAACAGCCATAAAGTTATCTGTTGTTCAAGGGTAGAAAGGGCATAAGAAACTCAGTATTTCCCAGTGACTAAAACTGTTCTAAATCCTGAAAGTTCAGTAAGGTCCTTGAGCTTCAATGGGCTCATTATTTTAAGTACAGAAACTCTGGGTAACAAACTCAGAAAGTGCCTTAAGAAACTTATAAGGAATATTTTTAAAAATATAGGCAGAAAGGGCAGAGGGTCAGACATAGGGGTAAATATATATGTACATATATATACATATATATTATGTATATAGAAATGGAAAATTACTGAAAACATAGATGACTAAGCCACTATGCATGCTTGTGAAGGAGTAAAACAGCAAAGGTAATAGCAATATTTACTATTACAAATCATAATAGTAAATCAGTGTGATGTATTACTATTATTGAAAACTAGAGAGAAGCCTAAATGTGTTACATGAACCCATATGGCACATCTAACTTGTATAAAGCTTTAAAAATACATTGTTGAGCAGAAAACATAAGGTGCACAAATATGATCATGCTTACATTAACGCACACATATACACATCCCCAAAGAATGCCAAGTAGTTTCTAAGTAGTTTCCATGAATAGAGTGTGTATAAAAAGCAAAAATGGTGGAATGAAATAAAATATTTATTTGTGGGAAATTAAAATGGGTGGTGGCCAAAGGGAACTATAATTAAAATACAATATTTTGATTTTTTAAAGACATTTTAAAATAAGATGTGTAATAAAAAATTTTAAAGGCACTTTTTTTACTAGGCGTAAGAAAAGTCCATTACACAGTGTATGAAGTTTAAAAAAATAAATCACCGCTATTGTCCTTCATTGGGATTCATAAATCATCTTCACTTATCTCCCTGTTGTTTTCTCAACCACCTGGCATTTAAATGAATGTAGATGTGCATGCAATTCTCTAAGCATCGTATTACGTAAATTGCCATATAAAATGAAATATCTCTAGATAGAAACATCTCTGCTCTTCTCACACCACCAAATAGAAATGTGTTCCACATTTATACCATAGTTTCATCTCTTTTACAAGTGTATCTGGATTTTTTTGGTGTTGTTGTTAATATTGCCATGGCATGCATGAACTTGCCAGAGTGAGATAGAAAGAGAGAGAGGGAACATAAGAAAATAACTACCCCTCCCCATGGGGTGTATGGCCATAAATACAGTCCCTTCTTCTCTATTCTCCTCTTGGGATTTTGGGCATGTATTTACATGAGCCTGGTATAGTTTTCAAGCTTCCGGATCCAGTACTAGAACTGCACAGTTGGCCATGTTGGATCCAACCACCCTAACCACCACATGACTGACTGGCCCTGGATTTGATTTTTATATAAGCTATAGAAAGTATTTTGATCCACTGGACTGGGGAGAAATGTTTACATATTAAAATGTTCACTTTGTATGCTAAATAATGTGATTGAATGTATAAAATTTAAAATTAATTAATTAATTTATTTATTTATAAAAAGAAAAAGAAAGTATAACTCACACAGTGGGCATAAGTACTCAGGATTCTGACTGAGGCGGGGGGGGAGGTGGATTGTCCCATGCAGACCATAATCAGGATGCTTCTCTATCAGACAAAAAAGAAGTGCATAAACAAAATTTTTACAAAATATATTAACCTCCTTATATTTAACAATTCCAAATAGGATTTGAATGAAGTTCAAGATAATATCTTCTATCTAGTAGCTGATATCCAGGACTCTGTTTATAATTTTTTTTCAGGGTCTCTTGTTTTGCTGAACTAACACATCTCCTATATTGGGTCATTGAAAAAGTCATGATGTATTTTTAGAAAGAAAAACATATCACAACTTTTCCCACGACCCAATAATTTTAAAGGAAGGAGAAACTAGATCTGTAACAGACCAAAATGGAAGCTGCGTATGTGGAAATGGATGTGCAAAATGTTACCAGCCACTGATGTGTGTGCTCTAATTACATATCCCACTCTATGTAAAACTTCTGATCACCTAAAATTGTCTTCTCTGGAAGGCACAGAAAGGATACTAATGTTCACAGCACCTCACCACGACTTCTGAAAAGAAACAAAGAGGGAAAAATGGAGGAGAAGGGATTTTGGCGTGACCATCCCCTCTGGGAGGTGATTTCTCGCTTTCTGTCTCTATGTCTCTCTCTGTCTGTCTGGCGAGCACATGTGCCCTATAGCAAAAACCTCTCAAAAAAAAAAACTTAGGATCTCTTAAATAATTTATCAATTAATTTATCAAAATTGTCAGTAAATTTTCTATATTTCTCTTTCTTCTGTGCTTATTGCACAACTTATTTATTTTATATTTTTAAAATGTTTATGACTTTAGACTTTAATAACTATATAATTATAATGTAGAACCTGATATTTTGATACATGTGTACATTATTCAGTGATCAAATCAGCATATTTAGTATATTCACCATCTCAGACATTTATTGCTTCTTAGTGAGGAAGATATTAAAGATCTTCTCTTTCAGTAATTTTGAAATACATAATACAAAACTGTTAATATAATCTCTCTTCTGTGCAATAGCATAATAGAACTAATTTTTATCCAGTACCGACCCTGTGCCTGTTGACCAGTCTCCAACCCCTGTCCATCCTACACACCTCAGCCTCTGGTAGCCACCATTCTACTCTTCCATGGAAGACTAGCTTTTCACATCCCACATGCTGGTGAGGATGTGAAGGATGAGAAACTCTTTTGTGCTGTTAGTGGTATTGTAAGTTTCATGTAGTCACTGTGGAAAACAGCGTGTAGACTTCTCAAAAAATTGAACTAGCATCTGATCCAGCAATCTCACTCCTGGGAATATTTCGAAAAGAAATGCAATCAATATGTCAAAGAGACACATGCACTCTCATGTTTATTTCAGCAGTGCTCATAACAGCCAAGATAAAGAATCAACACACATGTCCATCAATGGGTAAACTGATAAAGAAAACATGGCATATTTACAAAATAGAATGTAATCTAGCCATTATAAAAATAAAATCTTTTCATTTGCAGGAACTTGAATAAATCTGGAGGACATTAAGTGAATTGAGCAAGGAACAGAGGATTTATGTTGTCTTTTTTTTCTCTCTGAAGCAGAGTGGAAGAATCCACAGTTTCTTTTAGCCTCCTGCCCCAGCCTCTCATAGTCCCAAATTTGAAACTGAGATTTCAAGGTAGTACTCCTGTTATCCATTCGTTGTTAGAACAGATCTGTTAAAGTTCTTTGGTAAAATATTAAGATGCCAAATTGTGACATGAAGGATCTACTGGTTAGAAGAAAGTTACCACAGCAGATACAGATACACTCTCAGAATACATATTCATGGACAAAATAAACTTCTTTAAAAATAAGCAAATAATTATGACTATTCCGAAAGAGGACTTTTACATAGATTCAGAAATTCAAAAGAAAGGAAAAAGAAAAGAAGAAAAGAAAAAGGGACATAAAAGGAAAATACTAAGAACTTACATGTTTGACTTCATTCAATTCCAATCAACACTTGAAGGGCCAGTCTTGTTTCTTAAATTTGCGACAACAGGGATCAGCAGGTGGTGTGGTGGCTAAGGTGCTGGACACTTCCACATGGCTGACCATGGTTCAAGTCCTGGAACTGGTGGCTTGCTTTCTCTCTCTCTC